AACACGTGAAGCCTGTTGCAAGAAATCTTGGCATGCTATTCGATAGTAAGTTATGCTTTGAGCATCATGTTTCTAAACTGCTCCAGTCCAGCTTTTACCACCTTAGAAATATCGCAAAAATAAGGCCTATTTTAAATGTTACAGATGCAGAAACTGTTATACATGCTTTTATCTCCTCACGCACTGATTATTGCAACAGCCTCTTCACTTGCCTTAATCAGAAAACCCTAAATAGATTACAGACCGTACAGAACTCAGCTGCTCGGCTCCTAACTAGGACAAGAAAATATGATCATATCACCCCTGTTTTAGCATCATTGCACTGGCTCCCTGTTTGTTTTAGGATTGATTTAAGATTTTACTCATTACTTTTAAGGCTATTCATGGCTTGGCTCCTGATTATATTTTAGACATTTTAACTCCGTATGAGCCCTCCGTGATCTTCTGGCAAGGGCCTCTTGTCTGTTCCTGGAGCCAGACTAAGAACAAAAGGTGACCGAGCATTTGCTGTCAGGGCCCCCAGGCTCTGGAATGACTTGCCTGAGGAAATTAGGCTGGCAGGGTCAGCTTCTTCTTTCAAATCTCTTTTAAAAACTTACTTTTACCGGAAAGCATATCCAGATTTTATCTGAGCTGCCACTCGTTTTACTATTCCTGCCCTACCGTTCTTATCACTTTGTTTGCTTGTCTTATCTTCCTTACCTCCTACTGAACATATTTGTTACTTTATTGTGATCCTTGTTCTTATATTCTGTATTTATCCCCCTGTATCTTTTACCCACGTGGTTTTTTTTGTATTTTATGTGTGATTTGTTGTGAAGCACTTTGTTTGATAAGTGCTATATAAATAAAACTTATTATTATTATTATTATAGATTTATATAATAATTACCCTGACTTGAGATTCAAAAGGTATACATCAATAACAACAGATCATCAAGCAATATATTTAACTTACTGTCAGTGTTGCTTCTCCTGTGCCTGTGGCAGTCACTTTCACATTCCGGTTTATAACATTAATCTGTGGGAATTCAAATATCAACACACACACACACACACACACACACACACACACACACAGGGATCAATAGAAGAAACATACAGAAAGATATGAGCTACTGTGAGTTTGTTTATGTTGGTGGGAGTGTGTTCTCACTTTAGATGTTCTTGTGGCATAGTGGTTGTCGCTGTTGAAGTTGTACTTGTCAGGTTTTGACCTGCCTGGCAACAAGATGTCCACATTCAGATCAAACTCTGGTCCTTTCTCACTGGCCCAGTACTCGGCTATAGCCTGGTACACTATTATAGTAGCCTGAAGAGAAAAGAGTGAACAGTTGAGAAAGGTGATCAATGGTTTGAGGCTGAAATAGAGAGAATTAAATGTCTGTGTTACCTGAGTTGATCCATAGCCTCCACCCACTCTCTGCTGTTTGTTGAACCATCTCACAACAGGTCTTGCTTCTTCAAAGGCCTTTAGAGAGATTAGAGCTGTTTGATTATGGCAAAAATCCTAATCCCGATAGTTTTGGTCAATATTGAGATCATGATTATTTAACAAGATTACTAATTCACTTTGGAAACTTCATTAATATATTGAACTTTTAAAATTCAGTGCTTCAAGTTCAACTCTAAATTTTAAATTGCCCATATATTAAGAAATTTTACTTCTGACACGAGATGCAGTTACTTTATGCAATGGTGAGTAAGAAAAGCAACACTTAACATGCCTGGTTTGGCATAAGTATAAAGAACATGTACATTTAAGCTATGAGTAGAGGAAAAGTCAACTAGTCAAGTAGGCTATATTTGCCGACCCATTTTAGCACTGTGCAGAGAAACATTGAGATAGATATAGTAATCTGTTATTACATTAGAAGACACGGACACAGTGGATATTTTACAAGCATGGACCAGGTAAAGCAAGGCTTAACACACCTTGTTTAGTATAAATATAACTAAGCTATGAGTTGAGGAAGAAGATACATGGCTGTCGCTTTTTACCAGTTAACATCTTGGCTTCTGTTTGTTAATATAAGTGTAGTTCTAATACAGTAACAAAAGATGTGAGGGCAAAGATTTTGCAAGCGCAAGTTATGCATACCCTGGGGGCTGAGCCCCCCTGTCTTTCAATCCTAGTGACGTCCCTGGCTTAAGATAATAATGGACGAGCAAGTTATAGCAGTTAATCTTGGCTCAAGCTGAACTAAACATTAGAGCCTGACTGAGAGTGAGTCTGGGCCTTTAGTGAGGGGCAGGAGCCACCACTGTAAAGGAAACGGGTGGCCTGGATTTATAACATAAGACAAAACCAAAGCGTCACTGAGAAACGGAATACAGCTACATAATTGTTTTATCATAGATGGAAGCCAAAATCGTAATTTTTAATGATCAAATTGAAAATAGAGCAATTTTTGTTATAGCTGTTACAGTATAGCAAAAATACAATTATCGTAATTGATGGTTATACATGGTTCCATGCCAATTTAGATTTATGGAACACTTTTTTCTTTTCAAAATCACATTTGCCTTATACAAGCAATGCACATTTAAAAGCATTTTAAAGCTCTTTTCTTGCTGATGGATTACTTTACTCAAAAGAGTTGTTTTACTCTGTATTGTACTAAAATAAATGGTCAGCAATACTGTAAAAGGTCTGTCTTTACCAACCTTCGACCCTTCAGTGTGGTATCATGAAAGTGTCGGTGACACACAGATACAGATAGAGAGACATGCTCACCTTGGTCTTGACCAGAGCAAGAAGAGCGTAAGCTGTGGCCTCCAGTGTGTAAACACGTCCCCTAGGTACCTGCCAGTGGGACAACTCTGAGGAAGACAGACAAATTGTGGCATTTCTACACTATACTTGTGACAAGGCAAGATATATAGTATGCAAACTATGTAATAGCAAGTTTACAGTACATCATAAATATTGTTGGCATTTCTGTGCTGCAAACATAAATACTGATATACTGAATCTGAAGCTAAAGGTAATGTATCACCTGGGCATTATTATATTATATTACTGTACATGTTATAGTCGTTACTGTTGTTTTTATTAAATCACTCTTCAGTTATACTCTGTTTCTGAACATGTATGTGAATATTGTTGTATGAAGAGACCTGGGGAAGCAAACTTGAAGAGGATCTCCTGGTTCAGTTTGTTTTCATTGGCCAGGGCATATGATGTTATTGTAACAGCATATGGGTTAATGAGGCTGGGCAGACGCCTCTCCAGGTAGGCCACTGCTTTGTCTATACTGCCTGGCAGACTCTGGACAGAAGGAAAGACCAAGAAAGGATAGAGGGAGAAGAGTCTTGGGAGAATTTCACTGCAGTAAATGAGTGAAAGTACAATAGTATTATCTACTGGAACTGCTGGAGCCTATTATGTACATGTACAGGTTACAAAATGAACAGGTCACCAGTCTATCACAGGAATAATAAACATGCTCTCATATATGAAATACAAAATTGCTTAATTGTCAAGGACTCCAAAATAACATATGTGAGATCATGTGACTCCTCGACAGCGATGCCAGTGTAGTTTCTAGCGCTGCTTACATAGTATTCTTTTTCAATAATCTTATCATATTATTGCACCTATGACACCTATGACCTATTGACACCATAAACATCTCCACAACTAAAGAATCTTGTAAAAGGGAGGTTGAACTATCACCCTCCAAGAAGAAATTTAAGGACTCCTCTATCTCTGGGGAAGAACTTGATGTAGCTATTGCTAATGGCATAAAGCTAGCCCTTCAGGAACAACAAAGTGCTACTGCGGTGAAGTTAGTTTTAAGTTGGATATTCGACAGACATTCACCCAGGATCCAGTGACGGCTTTTTAGTCAGTTCACCTAGTGACGGTTGTATAATTGCTGTTAGCTCACCTCTGATGGCTCGCTTTTAACCAACGGGGGTTAGCTTAGGGAACATCAGTAAATTCAAATTGTGAAAACAGTGTTATGGGAAAATCATTATGTATTTCAATAGATTCCAAGTCAGGGACGCAGGGACTTCAAACCAATGCCAAATTGTAGTACTACACTAGAAAAATGAGACACACCCCTTCATATTTGATTTGAGTGCATTTATTATTTTATATTAATATTTATTCATAATTTATGGAAAATAATGCCTTTTTTTTCAATACCTTCCAGGTCATGTGAAACAGGGACTCCAAACCAATGCCAAATTGTAGTACTACACTAGAAAGTGTACAATTGAATTCAGAGCAAAGAATTTGCCGAGCAAAGAATTTGCCAATCAAAGCCATTAGTAATAGGGAGCTGAGAAGCTTTAATATAACTCTATCTTGGAACAGAGTGTGGCCCAATCTTAGTATGACTTCTTAGAATCTGGTGCACCAACTAATTTGCTTTTAAACGATTGACCGAGCATACATTACACCCTATAAGAGATTTCGGATAAGATTACAGGCTACATTTGACTGTCACATATGCCACAGTACTGCACCTGGAACGTTTCTACACATGTTCTGGACCGGTCCTGTTATCTCTCAGTTTTGGTACCATGTAAACTGTGCTCTATTGGATATACTTGATATTGTTTATGTTCCTAATCCTGCCTTTTGCCTCCTTAATGATGGCTCTGATGTTACTTTGAAGAAAATTCAGTACAAAATGGTATTTGCAGGGTTTAACCCTGAAAAGAAAACAATCACTGAACACTGTTTTCCCCTGATAGATGTATGAAATAGTTCATGGTCCACAGCCTTGTTAACATAGTCAGTCTGGAACATACTACTGCACGACTTAACAAGGTTGGAGAGCAACTGTAGAAGCCTGGAAAAACTTTTCATCTAATCTTAGTCATTTGTTGAGGGACTATTGCACGCCTGCCGAATTATTTCACTGTAATATAATTGTTATGCTCTTGTGATGTAAGGTATTTTCATTATACCACTGCTATAACAGATGTCCTTGTTCTTGGATATGTCTGTATCCACCCACCACCCTCATATTAATAAAAATGTTGATCACAAAAGAACGTGTGACTCACTTCCTCGTTTGCTCTTGTCATACTTGTTACGGCCACTAGAGGTTGTGGTAACAATAAACGTAAATAGGGTTTGTCATAAGCTGCTTGAACAATCGACCTATACAGCCGTTTCTCTGGTGAGGACATGATCAGCACATACTCTACATTAACACTCATATTCACACTGGTAGCAAATTTAGAGTGACCAATTCAGTAAGGTGAGAAAACAGTACTGCCTGAATCTAAAGAAACCCTCAATCACTGAGTTGACAATTAATGAGGAAAGAGGCAGGATTCTCTCTGGTCCCCTGATAATGACAGTGGTAAGGCGAGGGAAAAAAAACATTGTATGGAGGTAAGGTACTCACATTAACAGTGGCAGCACACTGTGTGCGTGACTCCTGCATGGCAATGAGGCAGAAGGCCGTCATTGAGGCATCTGAATCTGTGCCGAACACATCACCCTACACATACACACACAAACAGAAACGTGTCACATTATCATTACTATCATCAGTATTCAGCCTCAGTTTATTCATACAAGATGGTAGCCACTGACATGTAATGTTTTTTATTTTTATTTGATATGGTCTTTTGTTTAGCAACAGGATGAAGAATTGATGTTAATGAAATCAGTACACGCACAATCATCCCTTCATGAGCCACCGTTCCAACTTCTCTAAACATGCCATTAGATTGCTGTGTGTTGAGAATCATAAACTTCACAGCATCACAGATGTTGTTGATTGGCCCTGCCACCAGATTGTTGGCCATGGCAAACACCTTGATAACATAGGCCGTCAGCCTTAGAGAGAGAGGAGAGGAGAGGGTGTTCTAGTTAAGTTCCGTTTATTTGAAAAACACCCACCCTCACATAGTCAGAATTTAAGAGGGAGAATGTGCAAAACATCATCAGTTCACGATGCATTCTCACATGCCTCACCAGGTGCTGCTTTGGTGATCAGGATGTGCAGCAAAGGATCCATCAGTTTTTTGGTAAGCAAGCTGATTCTGGTAACCTAAATAAAACAAAAAAAAATCACAACCTGTGCACTGAATCTTATCCACTCAAAGCCAGTTTGAGTAGCACTTTAAAATTAAGTAGTTGTACTGCTGTCTACCAAAATGTGTTTCTTGACGCCACTACCAAAGTCAGTGAGCTTCATATCTTACAAATAAGGGATTTAAACCTGCTATCTCTACTAATAAATGCATTTGTGTGAGCCCACCGGTGTAGATGTGTTGGAGGGCTTCTGAACGTCTCTCAATGTCCACAGGTTCCCACTGTTTGGTTTTGTCCAAATACGTGGTTGCAATGACAGGCAGGGTCATGTGGATCATGTTCTCCTCTCCACAGCCTGAGGGCTGGTAGATCAGACTAACTGTAGAGTTCCCACTAATTTCATTCTTCAGCACATTTTGCTTTCTTCCTGCAAACATTTCCACAAGAAATGAGGTCATAATTTCCCACAACAAGGAAGAACAACAGTAAAATCTATACTAATGCAGAGTTTATACTACAGACACTTACTTACTTAACACATACTATGCCATGACATAGCTCACCTGTCACAGAGATCTGTGTGCTAGTAGGAGTGTTCGGAACAAACTCTTTGTTAGGAATTCCACTGTTCAAAATTTCAACTTGTTTACCATCTAAAAAGTGGAAAGAGTTCACAAGGTTTGACATTAATTTGACAACAGATATGGTAACTTTTTAATTAACAGGCCATTAATTACATATAAATAACAAAAGTTAATTAATGTAACCAGGTAAAATCAATGGTGCAGGTTCTGTACACCTTCAAGCCAGTAGCCTTGTGACCAATCAGTTGGAGCTACGTTTTCGTCCTCCAAGAGGCTGCATAGCCTGTGTTTAACTCTCTAGCTCTGCTACTCTCTGAAACATGAGACAAATTAGGTAAGTATGCACTTTATTTCCACTGTGATTTGCACTTTGTTCGATTCTTTGTTTGGAAAAATTAAGCACAGAGAAGAAAACCAAATACCCCAGTGCCCCACCCTATCAGCGTCTTAACTTAGCTAAAAAAAACACAACTGTTGTGTGAGGACCTTGCTGCGTGGGCCACAAACATGTGCAGAGGACACAGATGTACACACACGAGCAGATGTTTGCCCAAAGCTTCTATCGCACAAACTATACACACATATGGGCATCTGTATGCAGACACCCAGTGATGTTTAAATTAAATTTCGTAAGGTTCAAAATCATAACCTACCAAAAGTATTTCATAACTGGTTTTTAACTAACTCTGGTGTCCATTCATGTCCAACCTGACAAGCAAAGAATATTAATCTCCCTTATTATCATACAACTCTTGGACAATATTCCATAAAATACAGAGGACCATCACTTTGGAATACTATTCCCCTTTCTACAAAAACTTGTCCATCATTGTCAGTATTTAAGTCAAACATGCAACATATGCAACATATGCAACATAATTCTTATGTCGTGGTTAAAATTTAAGTATGTTTTATTTAATCGTTTATCATTATTGTCATTATTATTTCTATAATAATTTTGTATAATATCAACTGAAAATCCAGAGGGGAGGTTTCACTATAAGCCCTTGGGGTTTCTTACCTCTCCTGCATAATTCATATAGCGTATTTTGTATATACTTTTATTTGTCTTTTGTGCTACTAAATAAAAAAAAAGAAAAAGAAAAAATTCAAATTCACAATCCTTCCTGCTGTCAACTATCCACCCTGCTGTCGATGTCCATTTTGGTGTACAATAGGTCCTTTACTTTACCCTGTACCTTACAATACACTAACTGGTGGTCCTTTATTATCTGCTTTCATTTTACTCAGTAATTAGGAGTGTTTAGTATAGTGGTAGGAGTACTTGCATTGTTACTATGTTTGGTAAAACTACGAAATGAAATTAATGGCCAGTAAATTAAAATGTTACAAAGGACATTACTAAATGATTTTCCATACCTCAGCAGAGTGAACTCACCTACACCATTTTTTGCAGGGTCTAAAGTCACAATCTGAGGAGATTTAACCAGTAAACCTTCAGGCTGGAAAAACAACAGTTAGGACAAACATCATGAATCAAAACTATTTTTAGGAAACTATAGTTATTTATCTTTGGTCCACTGAATAGCAAATAAAGCTAAGGTAAATAGTGAAGTTTTTCACCACTACTAGTGCTATGGATAAGGTTTTATGAGTGAGTCTCTTTTTTTTTGTTCCATGCCCACGCATGAGGATGCACATGCACCTGCCCAAGCACAATGGGATGCAATACAGACATTAGACATACAGTGCCGGTAGCAATGCTGCACTAAAGATGGGGAAGAAGAAAACTGCAAACAAAATTTTAAATATAAATAATAAAATGAAATATCTACATCAGCTTTGTTGTGTCACAGTGTTTCATCAGGAATTGAATACATTAAATATCTTAGTTTTTGAATCGAAGCAGTAAGCTCCAATTCCCTCTCGGTAATTTTGGCTCCTAATAAAAATCTCCTGAACGATGAAGATGAGGGAGATATTAATAAATTAGACCACAACCATACTCTTCTGGAAATGTCACTCAAATCATATTTGATGAGATAAAGAGAGATGAGATAGGTAATTGAAATTTGTCATTTAAATATTTACATTTTTTGACATATTTAACATAAACCCACAGATAAAAATTAACACAGGGACTCAGGAATAGAAAAATATATTATTATAATGCAATAATTTACAGTATTTTGCCATCCTGAGAATAATAAAATTAAAGTGTACTTGTCTGGGGTTGCCCTGCTAGCCCAATGGTTGGGTGCATACTGGATAACCCTAACCTCTTACCATTCCTGTAAAATTCGCCTAAACCGCCTATCCAAGGCATACCCAAAGTAAACTGAAAGCTGTTCACAGTAAGTGCCACAAGCATTGAGTAATATAAGTTTGAACACACTTTTTCCTTTCCGCCTGAAAATGTTTGCAAACAGATGCATGCCGACAACTATAGATCGCACTTATTCACTGGGAAACAGAGTGGGGCCACAGCATGAAGCCTTACCTAGTCCAAGTTCAAATTCTATAGCGATGCCACAGAAAATTCGTAATTTACCCTGTTTTTTCCAAAGGTATGTTGTGCAGTTTTTTTTTCAAAAACAGTAGCAGTCCCTTGTTGGTAAAGGACTGCTGCTTTATCGTTTCATATAAGCCGGCAGCTTTATGCAGATGTTTTTTTGTGTTTTGACCATGCTCCGGAAGTAAAGATACCCTGCTTCGAGTCAGAACGGAAGTTGTGTGACGTCATGTGAAAAGGGCAGGACAGTTCAGCAGCCATTTAGAAATCAAGATATTGCAATTGTTTACATCCATACTACAGTTAATACAGTTATAATGAAATATTAGGCACATCTTCCGGCAAATATGAAATGATGCAGCAGCAGTGCCTGGGTATTAACGGAATAATGTGTTTTGGACAAATTTGTTGTAATGAAATCAGTAGGCAGATTACTATGAGGCTTCATAGGCGAGTTACATTAATTTCAGTAGGGGTTGTAGCCAATTCTGTGGTCTGGTTGCTGCCACACGGACTACGGGTCGCAACCCCTAGGGGCGCTACAGATAGTGGTCACTGCCACACCAACCACTTGTCGCTGCCTTGCTGCAGGCTACCACACGGACCACTGCTCGCTACCACAGTCTCTGAGGGAAGGCCTCAACATTTATAACACCTTCTCTAATTAAGTAGTATTTCTACTAAAATGTCTACTACAAAATCGATAAATTACTTGTCAAGTTATCAGTCTTTTATAAACAATCTCTACTGGCCTGGAAATTAATAGATAGTATTTTATTCAAGCGCATGACTGCCGTTGCTGTTCACTTGAAAAACACCAAAGTATGAAGAAGACATAGTGAACCAGACTTAATCTTTTAATTTGGAACCAGGCGGGAGGGCATGAGACGAGACTCCACAGTCTTGGTCTGCTGCCAAACAGACCAGTGGTCACTGCCACTAGGGGCGCTGAAGACAGTGGTCGCTGGTCTCAGAGTTCTGAAAAAGCTGTGCCAATCACAGTGAAGCAACAGCTGCACAACAAATGGAGATGACTTCTCCAGGAAATTATATCGCTGTCAGGCACCAACTATGAACACGCAACACAACAGATGTGCAGCCAAAGGCAGATGGTGTGCATATTTACACTTATTTAGCACAATGACGATAGATATAGTGATAAACATTAATGATTTGTATTGTTCTACATCAATCCAATGCTATATATGTCATACGTTTAGCATCTCATGTCATAAATGCACACATTAAATCATAATTGTTTTTATACAGTCCCGTTTGCGTAGTAAATACATGAAACTTGATAAACCAAATTCTCCCACATAATCAGAAAGAATACAAAGTTATAACTGACCAGTCTGATGTGTGTAAACTTGTAAATAGTTATTTTGTAGCAGACTGGTGTTCCTTGCAAGTGATTTACATAAAGTAAACACAGTGGACAGTTATGCGTTATGGCACTGCGTACTGGCATGGCACAGATTTAACATGTCTGTCCAGCCGCTTTTAGATTGCTGCAAGCAATTTATTTACAGATAGCAGATTTCATACATCATCATGTAATTATGAACAACAGAAGAAAAACTCTAAATACACTGAATGGAGTGTCTTTCTCTTACCACCACCTGCAGCATCTTCACGATTCCATCAGTGAGTAATGAGTCTTTAACAGCTGCTTTGACCTCAATGCGGTATTTTCCCTCCCTTGTGGGAATAATGATGAACGGTACAGATCGTGTGGTTTGGCGCCCAATTTTGACCTCCTGACGATACTTTCCCCGTTTAGAGGCTGCACTGCACACATGAGCCTCCTCAATCAGATCCACACGCACCTTGAGACAAAGACAAAGATGGAGAAAGGGACAGAGGTTGGTGTAGTTGATCAAAGATCAAAACCTGCCATAGAGTGGATTGATTCAGACCAATTCAGGCACTCTTTGTTGTTACCTAGAGAATAGCAATAATGCTATTTCTGTCAATTATAAGGATCTAGTTCCAGTACTGACTGAACAATGGGTTCTAAACAATATCCACTATGAAAAGTCAAATTATCCTGTGAGAAAAATAAAGTAGTTACTTGAATAGATATTGCTTCTTGTATTATTTGTATTCATCCTCTTTTGAGCCACCCATTGTATAAAAGTCTAATGTTTTATGCTCTTTGCCCTGGATTTGTTCACGAAACATATGGTCCTATTGGATTACTTGACTGACCCAGACTTACTGTGGCAGAATCAGGGCTGTAGTTGTAGAGGACTGCCTTGATTTCAAGCTGCTCTCCACGGACAGCAGCATATGGCAGCTTGAGCTCAATGAAAAAGTCCTTCCGGACAATTACTTCTAATGGTTCAGCCACACAGATACCTTAATAAAAACCAAGAAAAACAAACAAGGCATGAAACATAGCAAAGGAAACAGTGCAGGGCTGGCTCTTGGTTTAGAGGTTAGAGGCACAACTAACAGACAAAAATCCTCACCGTGAGTTCTTGACAGACTAATGCCAATGAACTGCCAGGTTGTGATTGAGTCTTGCAAGGGAAATTCTTTCTCAGCTGATGTGGTGTCACTGAAACAAAGAAAAGTGTTAACACTTTAAGAGGCAAAAGTTATGAGTGCATTTTTTGTTTGTTTCCTGACCTTCAGTTGACTCACCAGTCCAGTCTTCCACCAGGACAATGAGGCAGTATGATATCTGTCCATAGCCAACTTTCAGGGAACTTGGTGCGAGACACAATTTCATTGCTCTCCATATAATTGTCATCCTCATGACCTAAAGTGTCATGAAAAGGTTATTATTTTTCAGTGGGAGGCAATGATTGTTTTCTAACTACCAGTATGGTCATGGAAATTGACTGCTCAAGGCTTCCCTCCACCCCATATGCCTGTCTCTTACTGCGAGCCAGTTGGAGGTTTTCCTCTTTCCTCTCAGCTCGCTGGCTTTCCATCTCCTTGCAGCAGTGCAGGAAGGCCTCCACACAGGCTGCACTGTCCGTGATGTACTCACTGCGCCTCTCACAGGTGTATGAAACTGGGGTGTCCCTCATGCCATCCAAACAACAGTCACGTTGCAGTTGGTCTTCATATTGACTGACTGGAAAGACAGATGTTTGTGGAAGAGGGACAGGGATGAGAAGGTATGAAATACAAGTAGTGTTGCAACACTGGACTGAAAGTATCCAAATCAGAAATAAAACCCACTGATGGGACCTCACTTTATGGAAACAAAGAAGAGGCCAGCATGTAGGCCAGAAGCCTTAAAAAAGCAGCCTGTATATAACCCCAAAAGCCTGTAACAAAGAAACCAGTGACAATATCTCTCTGTCCATTAATTCACAATTGAGTGTGAATGACTGAGTGACTTTTAAGTTGAAACCAAACCACTGGGTTTGTACTGAATAAGCCCTCACGGAAGCACAAGAATTCCCAAAGACGTGACGTCACTGCCTTTTCCATTGCTTGGGTAAGCCACTACAGAAGGTGTCTTATATTCAACATTGAACTTTACGTTTAAGTGCATATCTAGCACGCCAGTTGAGAATAGACAGTTTTCTTTGGTTGTCTTTTGTTTGTTGTTTTTTTAACACATTTTTGGATCCAGAAGAGGACGTTCTACACAACATAATGTTGTCATACCTGCAGAGGAAGATACTGCTCACACCCATCTTATCGAGAGATGGATGACTGCTGAAGCCGAACCTCTTGCTCCAGAGAAAGAGCTGTGCCATGGCCCCGCCATATTTTGGTTCTGAATCCAAGCCAAGAAGGGCTCTACCGGGTTACGTAAAATGGACTGATGCGTCATATCTCTATCAAGATGTAATCCCATGTAAGGCTTGTGTCTGGGCAGAGATTATGTTTGAGACCATAACCTGAAGTTTTATGGAGTGAGTTTCTGTGAAACATAACAGACCACAGCGTTTTGTTTATTGCTGTGTGTTTTTTCGTGCTTAGCACATTTAATTTTGTATCGGTACCACGCCGTTTGTCCATTCTTTGTGTTATTCCTAATATTGTGTGCAAAGCCAATAACTGCTCTTTATCAAGACTGAAATCCAGAAACCCGACTGAATGAAAGTTTGCGTTACATCCTGTAAATTAAGATTTGTGTTGTTTTTGTATTATAGTCCTGAAATAAAGTAAAATAAGATAACATAAAAGTGTTTCAGATAATGTTACATTAAATGTGAAAAGTTTTCACACATTTGACATAACAATAGTAAATAGTAAAAAGTATTCAGTCATTGCATGATGAGCCAAGGATAATGAGCTCTGTATTTAAAAGAAAACGAAAAACAGAGGGCAAGAAAAGAGGGCTCCCTCTCCCTCAATTATTGGACAGACATGCAATAAAAGTAGCAGTAAGAAAAAACACACAAGAGTTTCAGTTCACTTTAATCTTTGCACTAATACACAGTGTAGCAGGTCTAAACGCTATGTATGATTTTTAATAAATTTATGAGAATTAATACCAAATTATGAATTTTAATATTCAGAAAATATTAATTAATAAAGCTCTCGTGGGGCACCACCGGAGTTGTTATTAACCCAAAGTCTCCGGATCTCGGGGTAGCATTTTAATAATTATACAATTATTTACTAGTGATCAATTAGCTATCGCTCAATTATCTTGAATCAGTCAATCTCATCTGAAGGGTAAATTCTTTTGGCAAGGACTAGAAATAGGCACACAATTCCATGATTACAGTGAATTTATTAACTAACTAAGGTGATATAAAATGCGGTTATATACACTAAAGAAATAAACAATGGCTAAACAATGATTGTGGGAAGCATTTGACTCATACGGCAACTAATGAATGCAATTAGATGTTAACTCGGGTAAATTTGTCTAGGGGTTTAAGGACTACAAACAATGGAATAACAACTATTGGACCTCACTGATCACAGGATGCTTTGTTTTGCCTTACGGTAGGTCGGCGACCTGCCTTGGCCTGTTGCACGGGTCCAACGCTAGCTGCCCGATTCCTGGCTTTTTGCTAGGGAATTATCCGGGGTTCTCCGTGTCTGAATGAAGAAAAACCCTCAAGGGTTGGCCGTCCTCTGTCTGGCCAATCCGCTGTTCTTCGGGTGTCCTTTGTTGCCGCTGGTGAGACCACGTGCCTTGGTCTGACCTCGGTGAAGTTAGCTTGACGAATAAGCTTAAAAAGGGAACTTGGTCGTTCTTGAATTAGACCACTGTAACTTAATGGACTGATAACTTTTAACAAAACAAAAGAAAGAAAATAAAACAAGTAAAATTGCTGGAAATGGGGGAAACTGAAGTCGAGGCACTTCGTGTGTGGAGCTTCAAACGAAACAAAGCTTTTGTTGCGCCGGGTGCATGCCGAAGCGCCGTTGAAGAGCCAGGAACAAGCAGAGCACAAAGAACCAGAGACAAGAGAGAACAGAGCGAACGACGTCGTGTGTCGCGCTTTTGTTCGTTGGGGCGTGGTTCCCCAGAGGGCAGTCCTTAGTTTCCCACAGGACGGGCCGTTTCCGGTCTTTCTAAACTTTTAAACTGTCACAAGGAAAAGAATATCTATTTGCTCGTATTATAATCAAATATGTTCCCACAATCAAACCTCAATTGTTAAACGGTTGTACCGTTCTAAGTTTAAGCATTTGGTAACAGGAAAACAATTGTTAGTAATTAGACCTTAAAAGTTTAGCATTTCAGAATGATATCAGAGGAGAGGAACTTAACTAGCTTTCATGGATATATTGGCTGTTACACATTCTTAGAGAATATAAGCAAGACAAATGAATGGCATCAGATTATTGGACATGATAAATAGCGAGTGACATTTAAACATTACGGCATTTCAGCCGATGGCATGTAATACTTATTTTGTCCACTTGGAGGAGCTCAAGTTACATGAGGATAGCTCTGATTAATCCTAAAATAATCTTTGCTCAGGAATTGGGAAATTCAGTTACTTAACCTTAAATTCAAGCTGGCAATTAATAGAGAATAGGATGACATTTCTCTATCCTCATTTCTAAAGGAGGAGTGTGAGAAAGTATTGTGAACAAGCATTGGTTACACATAAAATGAGGGAATGTTATTAACCTTGCTGAAAATTAAAACACTGCACAAATAACTTATTTAGATTCTTTTCAGCAATAATATCAACAACAGATAGCAACAACATGGTAACATAAGTACTCAAATAGAGGCAGCGCCACTACTAACTTAGCAAGGATTATTATTTGAAGAGAACAACAGTTTATAATGAAACAGTGTTTTAGCTCAAGAAGGCAGGAGTTAATTAAGTCCCTCTTTCGCATATCCTGGCTTATCATGTTTGCACATCAATCTTTGTTTGCATAAGGGAGTTCAGGTCTGTGTCTCTGGTGTCCTGGAGTTTCTCATCTAGGCGTGAAAAAGAGTATCTCTTTGATGAGGTAATGAAACACAGAGCAAGGTCAGTTGGCACGGTTACATGTGTGTGTGTGTGTGTGTGTGTGTGTGTGTGTGTGTGTGTGTGGGAGGGGGGGTTAGGGTTTCTTGCCTCCTTTTAAGGAGAGTTCTGATGATGCTGTTTGTAATCTCTGGTTAGTTTCTTTGTCATTTTAACAATTCAGGCACCTAGAGGCTTATCTCGGCTGTTGCCAAAGGTGGCCAGTTTTACGATCAACTGCCCAGGAATAGCACTTAGGGAAAGCAACCTTTCAACCCCCCCTCTTTTGGGGTCTCTTCAGCCGTCTGTAGAGGGTTGATAATCAAACCCCCTCCTCCTCCTCTCTGGGAGAGAAAAGAGGATGGAGGGGGTGCCAGCATGGCAAAATGAGTATTTTGAAAGTCAACAACACAAGATATACAATTACAAACATTTTAGAGAACATGATCTGTGCGGCAGAATATGATTGAATATATGATTATTAGGTAGTTATGAGCTGTAGTTCTTACCTAAGCTGGTGGTAACGTCCATTATAGTAGTAGCTCGTTTCCTCCTGCTGGGAGTCGGACATTTCAATTCTGGGAATGCAACACAGACAAAATCTTTAACAGAACCAAACAAAGTTGCACCTAGACTTGATTTCTGCAGGGTAATAATTGATGTGATGCTCTTATAATCAAAGTAAGGTTATGTAGCAATAATCACAGCTGACCAACATGGAAAAACACTGTGATAAACACTGTACAGGTGCATCACCGAAAATAACAATATCATGAAAAAGTTTTTTTTTCATAATTTAAATCAAAATATGAAACTTTAATATATTTGAGATTCATTAAATTATTCACAAATATTACAATTCACAAATGATTACGGCTTACAGTTCATCAAACATTTTGGAAATATAATAATAACAGAAAACATTTATTTCTCATTTAGATAACTGCAAAAATAAAGCAGAAAAACAGAAGACAATTGTAAAATATGTGCACGAAAAACAAAATATGCTGCAAATTTATCCACCACATGCGCATCGAATAGAGGAGACATGTGTTATAGGGCCCAATGATAGGAATGTGGCTGAGTACACCATTCTCACTTTTGGCAGCAAACATTGTAATGTTCTCTCCACACTGGCCTGGCACATCAACAGTGGCTTGGTGACCAATAATATTACGGCCACATCTCCTGACTTTGGTCAGGTTGAAGGACTGCTATACTTGATTGTACCGAGGTGCATGGCTGGTCAGTCTGCTGGTGTGGTGCGTTGTGGGGACAGGTGCTCCTGCCATGAGCTCTTCCGCAGAAGGAGCAGAGATGCAGGAGCCTGCAGTTGCAAGAGTGTGGCCCTGGTGTTTGAATTGCTGCAGACCATCATGCCCCCTTGATGGAAAACTGTCCTGCCCTGTTTGAATTCCCTTTAGCTTGGGGACACTAACAGAAGGATGTATGTCTGCGAGCCTATGGATGATGTGAGATGGGGGTGTGGCGGGTGATAAAGAGGCTTAACCGTGCCTCCTACCTGCTCCCAAACTTACAGGTGGAGGAAAAATAATGGAAAAATAGAGTAAAGTAGTGTCACCTTGTCTGTAAGGAGTCCCAGAAGCCTTGTTGGACTCAAACAACAGCCCAGCATCGTAGAACACACTCATACCGTCCTTCCCTCCACCTGGTGTGCAGCCTGTGTCATATGTCTCTACCATGTCCCACACCTGAGCAGGGTGAAAATCATTCACACACAGAAATACAAACAGACAAGGCTTAGTGTTTTGCCACATCCTCGCCTCCTCTACATCTTAAAGCGTTCTTGAGAAAGGCACTGAACCCCAAAGTGCTCCCAATGGTGAGCCTAGTGCCTTGCATTGTAGGTTCACTGCTATTGCAGCGTGAGCATTGAATGAGAGGCAAAATAAATTTTTTTTTAAAGCAGTTTGGATGAAAGCATTTAATAAATGATGAACATATTTGGCATGGCATTAGAAACACTGTATGTAAAATTAATTTTAAAAAACTACTTTCAAATGTTTTCAAAGACATATGTGAATTAAAGAAATTGCCTTTTTCTGGTTGAGGTGGTGCTTGTTGTTTAGGATGTAGACCCCTTTGTCAACTGCCACCAGTCCCACTGTGGCTCCGGGATCTCCTGTGACCTTCAGACGAAACATCTTGCGAGGCTCATAGGATGAAGAAGGTGATGATGATTCAAGCTTCAACTAAAGGAGGATGCATACTTGTATTTGTGAAATATACAAATAACTTTATCCCTTTGTGTACAGGCGTATTGTTGCCCACTTAAAATCTGCTACATCAGTGTTGTGTGTCTCACCGAGCCCATGCAGGAGTCCTTTGCATCCACCCAAACAGAGTCTGAAACCACTTCGTTATCATTTGTATGGTAGTAGGCAATGATACGGAACGATGGCAGCATATTTTTGGTAACAATGACTATTGTGGATATCAGTACTTGACCTTTTGTCTTGTAACGGCCATATTTCACCAGCTGACCTCTGCTCAGGATCTGGGGACAAATATTTGAACATCAGTATTCTTCCAGCATGCATGCATGTTGGACTACACAGGTAGGGGAAAGCAACATGAACACTCAAGCATGTGCACAAACATGCAAAACATTTCTCACCAGGTATGTGATGTCATTTGGAGAATTGTCCTGCCTGTTGAGGTTGAGGCTGATTTTCAGGTTTTCTCCTAATGTTACTTCAGCTGTATCCACACCTGCAATAACAGTATTACAATCAGCAAAAGTGCAAAAAGTGCTAAACATTAAAAAATAGTATATGGTAGTTTGATAGCACTGCCACTACCATACCTAATATTTTTTCAGTATGTACCTATGTGGATGTAACTGTTGCTCTTAGTGCTGTATGGCAGGGCTGTCATATTGGCTGATGCTTGCCTTTCAGATGAAATAGTAGGATCATTGGTCTTTGCCTACGATTAAACACACAGGTAAGCATACACACACAGTCACATAGTGATATAAACATGAGAAGTTACTATCCATCCTAGGTTGGGTGTGCCTACAATTTCTGCCCAAAGTTATAAGTTTGACATAATACCATGAAAAGTGACTGCCTTCATACAGAACTACATTTATATAAATCTGTACCTCTTTCATTAAAGGAGACCTATTATACTGCTTTTCCAGTCTTATATTGTAGTTCTGTGACTCCTGTATGGCAGCTTTGCATATTTCAAAGTTCAAAAAATATCATCATGTAGGCTTCATTTCAGCCTCTGTTTGAACAAGCTGTAGATGCTCCTGTCTCTTTAAGCCCCAACCCCCCCCCAAAAACCTATTCTTAGTCTATTCCTTAGATTATAAACTCTCGGTAATTAAAAATAAATAAATAAATAAAACTATCAGAGTAATCAGAAACGCTGCTTTGGTGTTTGACAGGTGAACCTTGTGGGTGGGCTAATTAAACAGTGACGATCCGAGTCAGAGAAGACAAACACACTGAGCCAATTTTTTGTTGGTGCAGCTCTGCAGCTACCAGAATTACGGTGTTTCTGCAGTTGTTCTACGTCATTAAACCACGGTTATGCTGCGCGATCATGCGCAGTAGACGCTGGTGCCAACAGGAAGTAGCCCTGTAGTAGTATTTCATTGGTGCAAAACTGGCTTCACTGCTCTCCATTCATATCAGCGGGGTGGCTTCGTCCAGTAATATACTGTCTATGGCTCTTCTGTTCTTGTCTGTACTTGTGTTCTTGTGGACTTGTGAAACGTCATCAGTCGCAGCCAAAGTAATGTTCCAATTCAAAAGTCCGCATCTAGCCAAGTACAGTAAAATACCCGGATGTGTTCTCGCTCCGCCCGTTTTACCGAGCCTGCATCAGTGGTGACTTGTGTGGACTTCGGATAGCCAGATCTCCCAGAATGCATTTCGCCGCCAAAAAGCAGAAATGTTGGTGGACAAAACTTTAAACTGTAAGTTATAATACTGCTGTTCTTGTGTCACATATAGTAGTTTTAAGAGTTTTTTTATGTGAGAATATAGTTGTTAAAACTCCAAATATGTGGTTGAATTGTCAAGACAGAGGTAATTAAAAAAAATGCTACGATGTTTTCGGAGATGTGAGGTCCCGCCCGCTAACGTGTCCGGCCGCAACAAGTCTGCTGCTGTTCCAATTGCTGAATGACTGACTGCATGCTCACGTTCCTGGGAGTTTGTACTCCTGAGCCGAACTTGCCAAGTCCGAGCCTTAAAGTACAGAAGTCCGAACTTGGCGAACTCGGTATTGAGAAACAACTTATCAGTCCACACAAATCACCACCAATGCAGGCTCGGTAAAATGGGCGGAGCGAGAACACATCCGGGTATTTGACTGTACTTGGCTAGATGCGGACTTTTGATTTGGAACAGTACTTTGGCTGCGACTGATGACGTTTCAAAAGTCCACAAGAACACAACTACAGACAAGAACACAGATTGAGAAATAGCTTGAGTGTTGCTGTGCCGTTAGTGTGGGAGCACGATTGACCATTTATGGAACAGCGGCTTCTTTTGGCTCAGTGTTACGTAGAACAGAGCCATTGGTAGAAAAAGCAGTTCAAAGCAGAAGTTCAGAACAGGAGGAAACCTGAGGTTTTTGCTCACAGTGATTTCTTATAAATGCTTTAACCTCATTTTTTGAAACTTTGGCCATGTTTAACATGAACATCCAACATTATAACATTGTAGATAAGTTATAAAATGTAGAAAAGCATAATAGGTCTCCGGCACTGTCTACACAGGTGACCACCAGCTGAAAGATACTATAAACAACTACTCAACTAATAAACACTTACTGTGACTGTCTGAGGTTTAGGATTTTCTTCTGTATTGATGGAAAGCCTTGCCATGCCATTGGCTTCAGTGACGCCCTGCACCTCCCCCGGATTCACCACCACTATAACACGTTGTGCCGGAGTGCCATCAGGATTCACAACTTCAATCTGCCGTCCAACAAACAAACGGCCATTAATACTATTATGGAAATAGAAGAAATTCTGTCTGCAAACTTAAGTAGCTGTGCAGCAAACATGCTATAACTGACATCATAATGACCCAGTATGATGTTTTCATACTTTGAAGACGTTTGCATTTGCATAATAATCAAGATGCATGCATATGCAATCATAGCAGCTATAAATGAGTAATAATAAACAGAAGTAATAAAATGTGTTTGGGTTTTTTATGAGATTGGAGAGGAGTTTTCCATCACTTAAAAACAATGTGTGACTGGTGAATTTCAGAAGTGCTAATTATATGTATTGTAAGGAATTGAACCTTACTTCCATTTGAAATACATTTAAGTATATACTTTACCGTAACATCAAAGGACATTCCTGGTTTGAAATATTTGGATGTTCTCTTGAAGTGGATGGTGTAAGGTGATGTGACAATCCGGATAGCTCTCAACTCTGCCTCCACCATTTCACTACCTGTGCAAAGATAAATGCACATGCACATAAACACACAAAGACATATGGCTGTGGCTCAGGGGGTTGTCCACTGACCACAAACTGGGCAGAGCGATCCACTGCTCCTGATCATCCACAGGTCGAACACCAAACTGCTTTTAATGGTCAGGCCTAGGGATGGGTATAGCTACTTGCGACCTTTATGGTATCAACCTAAACAGTCCAGTTTCGAGTAGTAAACGTCTCCAATCATGTTACGTTTTATAAACAGATCCTGGCAAAAAATGATTATTTGAATGGTTTTGCTTTAAGCCCAAAACATAAGTAACACACCGAAAGAAAGAGAAGAGCACGGCTTTCCCCCCCTTATGTGCCTGCACCTTGTAAGTCCATGCGTGATTTTAACAGCCGCTCAACTTCGGCTGCAGTCTCAGGCATGTTTGTCACTGTTGCAAGCCACAAGCTTGGCTTTCCATTAGTTTTATCTACTGGTATCATTTAACATTACTCTAAACATTTTTATTTGCTATTTCACATCACTTGTCACTGATCGATCACCGCCAATTAAACGCTTTTGTGGCGCAGCAGCAATCAACTGATTTTACTCCGGCTCTATCTGCGACAGATATCAGATGTAGTCTGTGTGATTCTGGATGTGCAGACACTCTTTTCCTCGGTTTGACTCTTTTAGTAGTTTAGTGACTTGTTCAGCCGACTACTTACTTGTTTTCTACTTCTTACTGTCGTCTTGTTTTCTACTTCTTACTGTCGTCTTTTTTAGTAGATTTTTAGTTTGCGACTCACCACAATAGGAAAAAACACTTTTGGAGATCTTTCAATTCGGTTTATTAATCGAAAGTTAACAAAATAATTCTTTATTGTTTACTTTCAACAAATGTAAGAAAAATTTTACTTAAATTTGTTTTGTGTGTGTGTGTGTGTCTGAATAGGTGAATGAGTGAATTACAGTCAAATTCTAAAGCACATTGGATAAAAGTGCTATATAAATGCAGCCATTGTTGCAAGCACAAAGTAATTATTATAAGGACAAGCATTTGTACTCCTCTTTTTTTCTCTCTGGTCTATTTTGGATGATTTCTAACCATGTAACTGAAAGAAAAGTTAGCTCAGTTAGGTCAGTTAATTACAGAAAAACACAAATTTTACACGATATGAACTATCCAGATTCTATGTATTTGCCTTCATTGCTTTTCTTGTTTATAAAAAATTCAAACACTTAGGGCTTGATTTACTAAAGGTTTGCATGAGTAAAAACGTGTGCAAACTTGATATCACCAGCAAATAAGCTGGTCTACTAACGGTGTGCACGCAGAATGACGTCTTTCAAAAGTTCAAGATAGCACCTGTTTTTCATTTACTACTTTTGCCTTAATCAATATATATATTGGTGTGTAACATGTAAAAACATTTATTTACTACACGCAATGTGATCTACCAAGCCTAAACACAATTTCATGTGAGTGCAACAGCCTCTGTATTTAATACATTTGAAAGGAAGGTGCAAACCGCCAAGTGTTACGCAGAGATGGTTTCTGTTATCGTTGCCAGAAGGAGACACAGCCGTAAGGAAAGAAAACGTAGAGAAATTAACAATATAAGATAATATTATTCTTTTGTATTGAAATACGATCATTTTATTTTATTTTATTTATTCGATTAATTATATGAATATAATTTTATTTTGTATTTTCCTTTAGCTTTGGCAATAGTGTTGTATTCATGCCAAAAAAGAAAATTTCGTTTTGACCTGACTTCTTTTCTCCATAAGATGGAAGAATTTAGAAAGTTGGGTGGCGCTGTGTGTGTTTGCTCCTGTCATCTACGCAATAATTCTTAGTAAATCGCCCATAACATGTACTAAAATTGCACATGCAATATTTTATGTACGGGCAATCTGAAAACTCATCGCTAGAGGCCACTGAAAACTACACATGGCCTCTTATAAATACACTTAATTACAACTTTTAACATTGCCGAAACTATAACAGAAGTAAAATGCACATACTATAAGAGCAGGCCTGTATGTGTTCAGTTGTATTCATCATGAATGCACAAGGAAGTATATACACACACACACACACACACAGTTACTCTTTCTTACCGCTCTCTGTCATCACACCAACAGCTACAAATATGGAGCTCCCCACCAGGTCAAGGATGTTTGGGAAGGTCTGTGTGATGTGCTCTCTCTTCAGTTTGACAGCTCCGTTACCTCCCTGAATCTAATTTGACACAATATAAAAAAATGTATCAGTGAACTGTTGGTAGGTAAATTTACAGATTTTTTAGCACTGATAAAAAGCCAGTGATGGAGCAAATGTGTGAGTATATACTAACCGGCACTCTCTGAAGAGAGCTGGGAAAGCTATGTTTTTGACCCTCATGCATAACCCCAAATACCCCGTATGCTGTCCCATCCACTTTTTCACCAAACAGATACCTAAAACCACAAGTAAATGGTTTGTTTTCACAGCAGGCTAAAACAGATTATATAAAATGGTTATGATTAAAATTCCACTACAGAAAACCCCCACCCTTCTAAAACAGGAAGCAACCCCCCAAAACGTAAGACAAGCCCCTCTACTTTATCAGTCCACTTCAAGTTGACGTGTCTATATCTGCAAAACAAAAACCTTCACATACTTAGCTTTGATGTCGACGGTGAAGTCTTCACTGTCCACGTAGAAGAAGGTACCCACAGGTATCAGTTTAACCTCAAAACTGGGGAGCACTAAAATTAAATTAATTTTATTGTGAAGATCAGGTAAAACGTTAAGTGGTATAAAAGGTAAAGGGCACCTCTGCGCTGACTCACCATATTCTTTGACCTCAAACTCTGCAGAGTAGCTCAGCTGTGGTTTGCTGTGGAACTTTGCCACCACTTTCCACACTCCGATACTACAGACACACACACATACATAAATGACACGCATGCATCTAAGTCTATGATCTGACTGCAAGCCAAAGTGACCCAAATCAGATTTTTTTGCTTATATGTGACTCAGATCTGATGTTTTTACAACAGTATGAACAGGCCAAATCACATGGAATCTGATCTTTTCGAGTTTGGATTTGTGCCACTTTCATATGTGGTCCAAATCCGATTCAGATTGGATCTTTTTAAATGTGACCTGAGTCTGGACAATCGACTTTGCGACACTCCAGAGCAGCTGTTCCTCCACCAGACGGAGCCACGATGAACAAAAAAGCTCCACAAAGGCCAATATTATACATGTGGCTGACTTGCTCCTCTATCTTGCTTTCATCCGCTCACAAATTCCCTTTCTTACACCTGAAATCCACCAGGTCACAGGCTCTCTTCTGAGTTACGTCCATGCTACTTATCCTAGTAGACGTAGTAGAGAGAGACTGAGTTGTGGGGCAGATGTATTGTACAGCGGCAGAAACAGTAATAAATGTCATGGAAAGGACAGAAAGTTGGGAACATCTCTCATAATTTGGGAGATATGTGACCCCGCCAGTGGGGCAATGAATAAGGGAGTTTTCTGTTAAATTCAGAAGGGTTCGCAAGTATAAGCTAACCAGGGATAACGCTGTGGCTTGTTTACTTCTGTACGACAGTGTGTTGCGTGTGATGTTGTTTTATTCTTCTGCGCATGCGGGTCACTTTCAGGCCATGGACAGTACACACTGGAGTCTGATATGGGCCACGTTTAAACAATAATGTGAACTATGAAAAAAATCTGAAATAAATTGGAATTGAGCATTAAGGCCCGCAGTCTGAACATAGCCTAAGAATGTCTTACACACTACTTACAATTGGCTTGTGAAGAGATTTTAAGTAAACTAGCTAATAGCTATAATATGTAGTAGCATCGTTAGTTGCTACATCTTTATTCAACAGTTTTTCTCAACTGTTTAAGACCCCCCCCCCACTCAAAAGCGTGTTTTGCTTACTGTTACTTAAGTTGGCTGTTTTCATATTCAGCTGCTGAAGAGAGAAAGTATCTATGTGCTCACCTGAATCTAAGTTTTTAACATGGATGTACCAGCAGGATTTTTTCCCTTCTTGGCCCCACCAGTATGGTTTCAAGGCTGGCCAGTTAACTGTGACTGTCCTCATTAACATTACAATTATTAACATAAACATTACAACAAATAATGTCGGCTGGATTTACTAAAAAGACTAACGCTATCAAAGCGACACGTAAGAGGCTTCAGCATGTCTGGGCAGCAGATAGTTCTATAACTTTGTTATTGTAACTTGTACAAGCCTCATGTGGTGAATTTCTGTTAAGAAACTAATTATTAAAGACCTAAACTATTAAAGACTGCGGTGTTTTCCGTGCTACGCACGTTGTTTGTGTCCGGTACCATTCGCTGAGACCGCTACTGCTTTGTTCCTGTTACGTGTGAAAACATATCAGTATTTTTATCAAGCCAAGGAACTTGTAGCTGAGTGTTTGCAACAGTAATTAGGATTTTTGGTGTTGGCTTCTGTTGTCTGAGAACAGATACAATTGCACATTCTATCTAATCCAAAGCCAGCAACCACTGGTGGCTGTAGGATAGACTGTGGTATATTGTGTATATAGTTTTTTCTGTGCCTTTCTCTCCTCCTGCTTAATAAACCCACACACCACGTGATCTCTGAAGCTTACCAGACCTGTGACCCACAGCAGGCTAGCATCAGAGGTCTCCAATTTTTCCTTTACTAGGTGATTTTGCGCCATCTTTAAATCACATGGTTTGAACCGCCATCTTGATTCCAAAATCAGCTGGCCGTGGCCCAATTCGAAACCGGGTCAGATCCCCCCCCCCCCCCCCCCCTCTTAGTCTCTCCCCCTCATTTGTGTCTCTCACACACACGCTTGCTGGATTGTTATATTTTTGTATGATTTGTTTATTGGCTTTATTTAATTTTGCTTAGAATAGTTAATAGTGATTTACTTGCTAAAGTTGTTGATCATTGATCTATGCTTGAGTTAAATAAATCCTATCATAATTTTAAGAAGTCGTTGCCTGTGATTATTTGTGTATAATGTTGTAGTAAGATTTGGTTGCGAAGGCCGTGTACGGACTCGCCTTTCTCTGTTGCCATCTATAGGTGGACAAACCTTTAGACTGATCATACTTGGCTCATATTTGGTTATTGGTCCCTGATTCCAGGGTGGTGCCCCATATTATAAATTACAATTAATTTTAATATTTCTAGAATATCTTTGATATTCAGCTAATAACCAAACCTGACCATATGTAGAAAACCCCAACATAAATAAAATTGAATGAATCCTGCTGGACCTTTCAGCAACGTTTTACATGGCGAACCATCAAATCCTCCTCTCCACCCTCCAAGACTTGGGAGTCTCAGGCTCTGTACTCTCCCTGTTCACATCCTTCCTTGAGGACTGTACTTACAGGGTAACTTGGAGAGAATCTGTGTCTGGACCTTTTAGCCTCACTATGGTTCCTCTGGGTACTGTTCTGGGTTCCCTCCTCTTTTCTCTTTACACCAAGTCACTTGACACTGTGATTCACGCACTTTATTCATTAATTTAACCACTTGATGCGCAACTTCGACAAGACTTCCAGGGAAGGAACCTTCCGTCAATGACCTCTCTGCTACCATTGAACTCAGTAGTAGTTTCCCCTGTTTGGACTGCAAGAAATCAGATGTGGCACTGTGCTTGATGAGCTGCTGTCTTTCGCTGTCAACATCGCTGCAAAAACCTGCTCTTGCAGATCAGCATCAGGAGGATATGTTTGTTCCTTGCTCAGGAGGCAGCACAGATTCTGGTCCAGGTTTTTGTCATCTTGCACATAGACTACTCCAACTCGCTCCTGGCTGGTAGCCTGCATGTGCCATCAAACCTCTGAAGCTCATCCAGTATGCATCAGCCCAGCTTGTCTTTAACCTGCCCAAGTCGTTCCATGCTAC